ACAATTCATGCATGAATTTCCATGTCAAAATCAAATCAACATAATATAAATAAAATCATTTTTATTCCACTACTATTGCCCACAATTCTCAATCCATGAGGAACCCGGTATAGGAGTCAAATATTGCACAAAAGTGATGAGGTCGAACATTGTTCACCTAATAATGCACCGTAGTGCTGAGGTCGGGCTTTACCCACCTGACTTGTACTATGTATCTTATTTGACACTATAGTACTACTTAATTCTACAGCTGCTATACTCTATGGCATGCCATTAATACCACTGAACCTCAATAACATATTTGGGCATATAGTCATCAATTAAATCATCCATGGAAAAGTATAACCACGTATAAACTTTAGGGCAGTTCATACCCAAAATAACTTCCATATCAAATCTCATGTTGATAAAACAAGGTCGACTTATCACAAGTCTTCCAGATGATGTATAAAACATCTATGTACACAATGTATAAAACATCTATGTACTATATCATGCATGTATTGCACTCACCTTGACACTCTATATAATCCACAATATCTATGCCTCACTACGGTCTACAATAACTCTGTTATACTTGATTTGCTTCAATCACACTTAAATCAAAATCTGTATAAAATCACAAATTCATAACAATACTTATGTTAGTATTGTACTAACATAAACACATCCCATAACAATTCCATAATATACTTGGAACTTATTTTCTACAAAGTATTTAACATTTAATAATTCCTTTTTTTAACATTGGAAACAACTTTTCCAATTTATACAAAATGGTCCTTCACCATTTTATCACTTAGATTCTTAATACCAAAAATTTCAGCATAGTACATCAATTACATAACACTTACACAACAACCCATCAATTTCTAAAGTTGTCGAATTGATCCCCAACTTTTCAAAAATTACAAAATAGTCCCCAAATTTTCTAAAGCTTGTAGAATACTTCCTTCATCATTTCCAACCCATATATAATTTTTCCATAATTTTCCTTACTCAAACATTCCATGGCCAAAACTTAAAGAACAAGTTTTAGAAAGATTAAACATGTTCTAATCATCATACATGCTTGAATATGAATCTACACATGTAAATCATCAAGATTTATCATCAATTTCATGAATCCTATCATGAACATAAACCCTTAGATTTGGGATCTTTGAAATACAGCAAGATTAGAAAGAAATATTGGTACTAAATGATAGCGTTTTTTGCGTAGATCACTTTCATATTTCACGACATAACTCCAATTCCAAAGGAATTAGCTAAAAAATTGAAAATAAAATATTTTTCTTACCTTGGAAGCTTTCTCACATGAAGATGTTGGAGAAGAACACTTTGGCATGATATTTTTGATTGATATCATGCTTATCATCATTTAAAACATTATTTAAATCATTAGCTTGAGAAAATACCAGTATAACCTTAATATAACTCCATAATTACCATAAAACCAAGATACATACCCTTATCATCTTCAAAATAATATAAATATCAGCCTTGTCATCTTTCAACAGTCAAAGATGAACAAATTAGTTTTCCACTTTACCGTTTTGCCCTTGTAATTTCCAAAAATTACAATTTAGTCACTTTAATCAAACAATTCAAGTTAAACATGGAATTAAACCATTAAATATTATTTTCCACCATTTCAAAAATATGAAAATAATATTTTTATTTCCTTATTTTCGTGACCTATTTTTAATTTTTCCAAAATTACATTTTAGTCCCTAAACTTTTCAAAGTTTATACTTTGGTCACCAAACTTTACCAAATTTATAATTCGGTCACTAAATAAATCCATTTATTAAATAAAATTCTTTTTGGGAAAAATAACCACTAAATTCCTTAAACTTTTCCCAATTTTCTACTTTGACCATCAAACTTTCAAAATTTGCATTTTGGTCATTATCTAAATTTTTGGGGTATTACAAGGACCATTATGAATCAAATGGAAACAATTGATATGAATTCTAGAAATAATTCATAAATGGTGTTTTGAATATAAAGTTGGTAAAGGTTGAAAAGTTGATGATGAAAGATAAATATTTATGGAATTAAAGGATTATTTTGGGGAAGTTTAAATTTGGGATGGAAATGTGATTTAGTTTGATGTCGATTTAAGTATCAATTTTATTTTATATACTTTTATACTTTAAGTTTAGATTATGTTAGTATAATACTAACATATAGTTTGAATATTTGTGTTATTATGATGATGTTGTCAGACCATAATAAATATAGCGTTCTGAACGACTCAAAAGAAAAGGGTAAAGTACGTGAGTAAAGGAATATTATATAAATGTTCAGTAGTGAGGCAAAGGTGAGTGTAGTTTATTTATTTAATTATTCTGATTGAGAAAGACTTGCGATAAATCAACCTCATATGATTTATCTGATGTAATATTTTAAATTATGGATGATTTTGGGTATGAATTTCCCAAGTTATGAATTTTATATTGGTAATATGAAAATGATTATGATTTAAGATGCTTGATTAATAAATGGATAAGATACTATCTGAAAGCCCATTGTATGTTGCATGGAGAGTCATATGTACACTTGACATGCCATGAAATTGAGTAATTTTGATTCTGATTCCGATCTGGTACATTCGTGTACATTCTGAACGGCACCATTGGTGCAAATGATATGATTGCACTTGTAGTGCATATTCTAGACCGTGAAGTGTTTAGTGCGCATATGTGTCTAACTCATGTACCCTATATTATCGCTTACATATACATTGGGCTATGAAAATAAATGTGAAAGTTCTGAAAAGTATCTGAAAAAGAAAAGAATATGATAATGAAATATGAAAGTTCTGAAATGCGTCCGAATGGAAAAATATATGAAATGATTATTTTGTTTGATAATGTTTATCATGATTTTTAATAAAATCATGAGATGATGATTTTTCATGTTTCTGATGAAGAAAAATGGCTTGAACATTCGGTTTGAAAGTTTTGGGATTTTATTTGAGTTACTTTTAATGCTTTATCGTAATTATTATTATTGTAGTTATTTTATGCCACCTTGAGTTATTACCATCTCACTAAGTTTTACTTAGCGTGTGATGATTTTCATGCGTAGGTTCAGTTAAGAAATAGGACGTGACGTAAAGAGCCTCCTGAGCATATTTTTGGATATCATACTTACTACTTGTATGAGTAAGACATCTCTGATGTTACTTTTGACTGTTAGTGACATGTATATTTATGTCTGTAATAGTAAAATATGATCATTTTATTTTGGCTAGTTTAGTTATGTTCATATTTATAAATGAATAGTATATATATATTGCTTCTAAAATGGTTTCATAAATTAAGTAGTGTTTAGACAGTTTTATATATAGTTTATGAAATAGCGCTAAACTATCTAATTGCTGCCTAAAATCATATTCATTTTGAATTACTAAATATTATTTTATAATTTTACATTATTAATGAAATAATTTTAAAGTCGAAAAAGAAATGTTTTATAATGAATAAAATTTTAAGCATTTATGTTTAACAAATTTCTGAAATGTTTGTGTAACATCTTTAACTCACATTTTGATATGTATACAAGTTATGAGTGTTACAAGATGAGTGTCATGTTATAGAAAGAGAAGGGAGGTGGAGGCGAGGAAAAGTGAACGGGAAGACACTTTTCGTCTCCTACATTTTTTTGAAAATTTTGAAATCTTAAAATACACTTCTGATAGGAAGTACATTTCACAAATATTATTGATTGGATTGTTACCTTGGAATGCACATTTTATGAGGGGTGTACAAAAATATTCGACCCGCCGACTCGAATCCAAAAAAATCGGGTATTTTTTTAAAAAAAATTACTCGGCCGGATCGGGTACCCGACCCGATACTTTCCGGGTTAGGCCCGGGTCACAAAAATTGATTTTTTTGGGTACTCGGGTTTAAGTTTTTTTAATTATATATATATATAATTTATAAAATACTTATAGTCTTATAACTTTTCACATTGAAAATGGTTAAAACATATCATTTAGTTCAAATATTATATAATAACATTATCAATTTATCATATAGTATTTATAATATGTACATGTAACATATAGACAAAAAGACAAGTTAAATCAATTCTTAGTAGTTAAATTAACAAAGCTGGCATGTTCATAATTTAATAAACATATCAACAATTACTACACGTATTATACACTTTATCTCATACATGTAACTATACTAAATATGTTTTTATTATTATATATTTATATTATCAGTATTTATTTTAAATATTCTTACTAGATTAGTTTAGATTTAAAATTTTATATTCGAAATAATTTTTATCATAGTATCAATTTTGTATTTCGAATTTTTAAATTTTGTATTTGGATGTTCGAATGTGTAATTCGAAGTTTCAAATATTTTAATTTGTGTGTTTTTTAATTTAATAATTTGAAAAAAAAAATCCAGATATCGAGTACCCGACATACAGGTACTTGCAAAATTCGGGTACCAAGTCAGAACACGGGCCAAAAAATCACCAAAATCGAATATTTCGAGTATTCAAAAATCCGGATACCCGGATTTACACACCCCAACTTCTAACAAAGATTGCTCACGGGTATTATCTCATAGAAAAATATGATAAGGTTAATTATTTATTAACAAATATATAAAATGAAATAATATCACATCAGTGACAAATACTTATAGATGCAACGTGGCATTCCCAACATCAAATTAGCCTCACCATTTTTTTTCTACGTAGGGCATGTTTAATATATTCCTTTTTATCCCAAGATTCAATGCAACTTAATATCCCTGCTTTTGGCCTTTAACTTTTAATTTTATGTGTAAACATATATAGAAAAATACGCCATGTCCAAAATATTTTCAAAGATCACATTTTTTTTAATGGATGATTCACATTCATCCACCTGGCTACTAAAATAGTTATAGTCAGCCTCAAAACTCTTTACAAGCCAATGTATATTTTGTAGTCCTCATCGTTTTTAACGTCAATTCAACCAAATATCCCCATCCCCATCATTTTGCAATTTGAAAACATTAAAAAAAGCCGTCCTTTTCCTAGGTTTTTTTCAGATCCTTCAAATTCAACTCTCGTTTATCCATGTCTCGTTCAATCTTCTTCGCTTTCACTCATCATGGCCTCCATCCGTGAAAATCAGTTCCTCTTTCTATTTTATGTACTCTTTCTTTTACAGTCGCTGCCTCCGATGGCCGCCACTCACTCACATTCAGCTTATTCGGGTCCTGTAATTCCCACAACCCCATTAGTTAGCTTCCTCGAACGTGTCCAAGAAACTGCTTTGCAAACTTACGGGAAATCAAATTTTGATCCCAAAGAATATGTGGACTTATCTTTGAAGTCTAATATTTCCATCACTCGGGACGCATTTGATAAGCTTCCCAGGACGGCAAATGGGTCGGTTCCTGTTGACGATTTGGAAAGTTTTATTGGAAAGTACTTTAATGGTGCAGGGGATGATCTTGTCTATTCTGAGCCAGTGGATTTTGTACCAGAGCCTCATGAGTTTTTGCCCAAGGTGGAGAATCCAGAAGTAAGGGCTTGGGCGTTGGAAATCCATGCTTTGTGGAAGAACTTAAGTAGGAAAGTTTCGAGCTCGGTTCATGATCACCCTGATTTTCATACTCTGCTTCCTTTGTCAAAGCCCGTAATGGTTCCTGGTTCTCGGTTTAGAGAGGTTTATTATTGGGATTCTTATTGGGTTATCAGGTTAGTTCTTGATTTCTTTCATCTTCCACCTTCATCATAATGTTTATCTTGGTTTAAATCAGGGATTAAATTCTGATTATAGTCTCATTTTCGGATGCTTTGAGTTTATCGTGGTCGCACATATAACATGATTGCACACATAGGCGGCGGACCTTTATTTAAACTCTTTATATATTGTTTAGATATTTTCTTTGTATTTTTAATTAAATCTATTTATTTGACTTGGAATTTTATAAATTCGGGCATCGTAAATTTTAGAAGTTTGTCCAAACATAAATTGGTCCTAATAAATTTTTTTCATTATGGTTGCTCAGAGGCGTGCTGGCAAGTAAAATGTACGAGACTGCAAAAGCAGTAGTGACTAATCTCATCTTCTTGCTAGACACGTATGGTCATGTTCTTAATGGCGCAAGAGCCTATTATACCAACCGAAGGTAATGGCTGTTCAGTTGTTTCCTTACCTTTGTTTCAAAAACCTTATATCTGTATCAACAAATGAAAGTTTGGGTTTTCTTTAAACTCTGCAATTCTGCTGTTCATTTGTTATATTAGATCAAACATTGTATATTACGTTTGTGCTAATTCCTGCCTAAAAGCTTCAAGCTACTTGCTTCAGCCAGCCTCCCCTCCTGAGTGCAATGGTTTATGAAATATTCAACCGGACCAGTGATGTCGAATTCGTTAGGAAATCTCTCCCGCCGTTGATTAAAGAGTATCGATTTTGGAACTCAGGTAAAACTGTGCATATACTTGGTTGAACAATTTTTTCTATGTTTATGTTTTTGTAACTTCCTCCTTGCATTTAGGTGATTCTATATAGAAATTGTTAAAGTAATACCTCGTACTAATTATTATTCAGCTAAACTGCAATATATAGTACACTGTACAAGCAATAATACAAGAGCTGAAAATAATTGCTTCTAACTAACTCTCTAACAGCCTAACAACAAACTTATAACAAACTAACTAATCATTTGCTATCTTAACACTCCCCCTCAAGTTGGTGGGTGAAAAACATTTGTAACCCCCAACTTGGCTATCAAATATTCATGTTGTTGCGTTCCGAGTGCCTTTGTCAAAATGTCTGCAGGCTGCTCCCTTGAGGATACGTGTTCAACAATGATGAACCCTTTTTGAATCTTGTCTCTAACAAAATGGCAATCGATCTCAATGTGCTTCGTCCTTTCATGGAAGACTGGATTCGAAGCAATCTGTAATGCTGCTTTGCTGTCACAAAACAGCTTGACAGACTGGTTCTGTTTCACTCCTAGCTCATTTAGCAACCCACTTAGCCAAACTAACTCTGCTGTGGTCATAGCCATACTTCTATACTCAGCTTCTGCTGAAGAACGAGCCACTGTGTTATGCTTTTTTGACTTCCATGAGACCAAAGAATTGCCAAGTTTTATACAGTACCCTGTTACAGATTTCCTTGACATCGGACAAGTTGCCCAATCTGAATCACAATAAGCAATCAAGCCACACGTACTAGAGGAGTCTAGCAAAATTCCTTGCCCTGGATTCTTCTTAACATACCGCACAATTCTCAGGGCTGCTTCCATATGCACCTTTCTAGGTTGATGCATAAACTGACTTAGATGCTATACTGAATAGGCTATGTCAGGCCTAGTGTGAGTCAAGTAAATAAGTCTGCCTATTAGCCTTTGAAATTGTGTCTTGTCAACCATATCCTTTGCACTTGGCTTCAAGCTCTTAGTGTCCGAGGCAACCAAAAAATTATTATTCTGTTCCAAGGGTGTTAAAGCAGGCCTTGCTCCCCCTGCCTTGACATCTTTTATTAATTCTAGAGCATACTTGCGTTGGTTCAAAACAATCCCTTTTTTTTATCGTAACACTTCCAGCCCAAGAAAGTACCTCAGTTCACTCAAATCTTTCATCTTAAACTTGGAATTCAATATGCACTTGAGCTCTTATATCATAGTAGCATCACTGCCAGTAATCAGTAAATCATCTACATACACAAGCACAATCACCAACTTGCTTGCTACTCGCCTTGTAAACATCGAGTAATCATGCCTACTCTGTTGAAACCCTGTTGATGTAAGTGCTTCAGACAACTTCTTATTCCATTGTCTAGAAGCCTGCTTGAGCCCATACAAAGACTTTTGCAGCCTACAAACCATATGCTCCCCCTGACTGGAAAAGCCTTCAGGCAACTGCATATAGACTTCTTCAATCAAATCTCCTTGCAAGAATGCATTGTGAACATCCATTTGCGACAATGGCCAATGAAAGATTGAAGCAAGAGCCAAAACCAATCTCACAGTGGTAAGTTTAGCAACAGGAGAAAAAGTCTTCACATAGTCAACACCCTTCTTTTGACTGTACCCTTTGGCCACCAACCGAGCCTTAAACCGTTCCACCTCACCCGAAGCACGACACTTGATTTTATAAACCCATTTCCAGCCAATGGGAATTTTACCAGAAGGTAAAGGTACCACAATCCAAGTATTATTTAACTCCAATGCTTGAATCTCCTCTCTCATGGCCTTCTGCCATTGCGGATGTTGACAAGCTTCTTGATAAGTGGTGGGTTCAGGAAAATGAGAAATAGAAGCCAAAAAATGTTGAGTATGTGAGGGTAAATGAGAGTAAGAAATGTACTTGGAATCGGGGTAATTAGTAGAGGATGAAGTGGATTAGCAAGAACATACATAATCATTTAACCAGGTTGGAGGCTTGGAGACACGAGAGGAACGCCTAGACACAAAAGAATCCTGTGCTAAAGGAGGAATATCAGCTTCAGAAGGACTTGATGAAGAGTCAAATGGACTACCAGATGCACCTGTTGAGACATCAGATGGAGAAATGGAGGGAATAGGTGAAGAACCAAGAGGTAGTGAAGAACTAGAAGAATCAATAGGTGACATAGTAGGAATTTCATGCGAAGAACTTAAAGAATTATCAACATGAGAAGAATCAATGGGTAGTGAAGAATCAAGAATCAGAAAATCAGAGTCAGGAATATGAGAATGTGAGGGGAAAAAAAGAAAGGATTCTGAAACAGGAAAATGAAAGGGAAAAATTACTTCATGTAACACGACATCCCTACTCACAAGAAACTGTTGTGATTGAAGACTAAACAAAATGTACCCCTTTTGAGTTGAAAATATCCCATGAAAACACAAGGGATAGCCTTAAAAGAGAATTTGTCTCTATAGTTAAGCTTGGTAGCATAACATAAACACCCAAATACCCTTAGATGAGAAAGGTCAGGAGATTTATGGTAAAGAGCCTCGAAAGGAGTTCTGAAATTTAAAACAGAAGAAGGTAGGCGATTTATTATATAGCAAGCTGTTGTAATACAATCACCCCAAAATTTGATAGGAACTTTTTAGTGAAGCTGAAGTGCCCTTGCAACTTCAAGATTATGTCTGTGTTTGCGTTCAGCAACCCCGTTTTGTTGGGGAGTCTGAACACATGAGCTTTGATGAAGAATACCTAGGGAGCTAAAAAGATCAGAACACTAAGAATTAAAAAATTCAGTGCCATTATCACCGCGAATGATTTGAACAGTGGTTGAAAATTGGGTTTTGACAAAAGTGATGAATTTTTTTAAGAGAAATAACAGTGTCATTCTTCAATCTCAACAAGTGGTCCCAAGTCATACGGGTAAAATCATCAACTATGGTTAAAAAATACCTATGACCACTATGTGTTGCAATTCGATAGAGACCCCACAAGTCTATATGAATTAGGTTAAAAGGAGCTTGTGAAGAGGTAAGAGTAACAGGAAATGGAAGCCTAGTTTGTTTTGCTAAAGGACATATAGGACAAGAATGCAATAGTTTGGAATCCAAGTTAACAGAATGCAACAAGGGTAATTTATTCATGGTCGAAATAGCAGTATGTCCTAAACGAGAATGCCAAATGCTTGTTTTATTGCTAGAAGTAGTAGTCATACATTCAGATACATGACCACAATCAAACAATTTTGAATCACAAGACATATTAGAGCAAAAAACATGAGACTGCACATTTGAAGAATTATGTCTAGACGACAAACCAATAGGTAAAGCAGATGATTGAAAAAAATAAAGCCCTCTATACTCCTTACCAATCCCCTTCATCCTTCCACTTGAGAGGTCCTGCAGAATGCAAAAGTCAGGATAAAAACTGACAAAACAATGAAGGTCACGGGTAAGCTTCGAAATGGAAAGCAAATTGTGAGTAAAATTTGGCACATATAATACATTAGACAGGTTTGTATTTGAATTTCGGAAGCAAGAACCAATATATGTGATCGGGACTGTTTTACCATTTGGTAGTAGAATGGACCGTGAGGAACATAAGACAGTAGACAACAAGCATTGAAAATCATATAGTATATGATCTGTGGCTCCTGTATCTAAAATCCAAGTCAATGATTTATTAGAGGCAGGAAGACTACCATCAACAATACCTGCCAGATTCACAGCGGAATCAGTAGATGGAGCAGAGGACAACAAGCGAAGGATCTGGTTGTACTGCTCCTGGGTGAAGGAAGGTGCCAGAGGAGCCGAATAACTCAACTTGCCAGGGGCATTAGTAAGGTCAGACACAACAACAGGTTCAGGTACAGTGGCAGATTTAGAGACAGCTACTGTAGCTTGAGCATTCCTTCGTTTGGAGAACTTAAAGTCTGGTGGAAATCCTATGAGACGGTAGCAACTATCCCTCTTGTGAACCTTGACCTTGCAATAGTCACAAATACCTTGAAACCGGCGACGATCAAGAATCCTGAAACCTTTGGAATAAAACACCAAGGAATCAGGACTTGGCATAGCAGATAGCTAGATTCGCTGAGACTCCTCTTGAGCAACCATGGAATACGCCTGGTTAACCGAAGGAAGAGGCTGCATCAGCAGGATTTGGCTTCTAATCGACGAATATGTCTCATTCAAGCCCATGAGAAACTGAAAAAGCTGCTGCTGAGTAACATGCCTGGAGTACTGCTGCGAATTCACACACTCAAAGGATGCAATCGGCACAAGAGCAACATACTCATCCCATAACATCTTCAATTTAGTGAAGTAAGTTGAAAAGCTCAACTCACCTTGAGAAATTGTAGCTATTTCTCGATGGAGGAAAAAAATCCTGAGCCATTCACCTTATCAAAGCGCTCCCTCAGATCGTCCCAAACCGAAGCCGCATTTGAAGCGAAGACGATGCCTGCCGAGAGCTCCTTACTCACGGCGTTGAGAATCCAGGATAGCACGATTGCATTACACCTCTCCCATTGAGGATGCAAGTCAAGACCGTAACTGTCTTTCTGGCAAGAACCATCAACGAAGTTGAGTTTGTTCTTCGCCAAAAGTGCTATTCGCATCGACCTGCTCGAAACATTATAGTTCTCCAATCCGACTAATTGATGAGAGATGAGCGGAGTATCTGGAGTATGTGATGGATGTAAGAAAAGTGAATGATTGAAATCAACCACGGTCGAATCGTTTATTGGAGGCATTGCAGTGATGATAGTCGAGCGAAATCCCTAGGAAAGAAATTTGTGGAGAACGAAGAAGAGAAGAGCTGATGTGAGGATGATACCGAGCCACACTACTTAGTTTTAGAAGTGGGCCAAGAAGAGGGATCCAACAAGAAAGGGCCTGAAAATTCTAATGAAACCTGGGAATGATACCATGTTAAAATAATGCCTCGTACTAATTATTATTCAGCTAAACTGCAATATATAGTACACTGTACAAGCAATAATACAAGAGCTAAAAATAACTACTTCTAACTAACTCTCTAACAGCCTAACAACAAACTTATAACAAACTAACTAATCATTTTCTATCTTAACAGAAATACATGAGTTGATTATCCGTGATGCTGAGCTGAATGATCACTCTTTAAATCGGTATTACGCAATGTGGAACAAGCCAAGGCCTGAATCGTCAACGATAGTGTGTTCTTCCCTCCAAGTTGCTTATCTTGCTAATGTTCTTCCCTTTTTTTTTCTGTTTTGACTTTCTTGTCTTATCTACCAGGATCAAGAACTTGCTTCCAGGTTCATGAATGTCTCAGAGAAACAGCAATTTTACCGGGAGCTGGCCTCAGCTGCTGAATCTGGATGGGATTTCAGCACAAGATGGATGAGGTAATTCTATTGATTAGCTGAAGAACCATCCTACTGATTTTTTCTGATAAAACTAAAATGAAATCTCGTGGTTAATTTGAATGTTGCAGGAATTCTTCTGATATTACAACTTTGGCAACAACAACAATCTTGCCTGTTGATTTAAATATATTCATACTAAGAGTATGTTAATACAGAACTTATGAAATGTTAAGATTGGTTCTCCCATGGGATTTATTGACAAATAATGTTGTTCATTTTTTGATATAGATGGAACTTGACATTTCCTTCTTGGCAAAAACTATTGGGGAGAACACTGTGTCTGATGATTTCCTAAGAGCTTCACAGAAAAGACAAAAGGCATTCAGCTCAATTTTTTGGAATGAAAACATGGCGCAATGGCTGGATTATTGGCTCAATGACAGTCAGGTTGTCCCCAAGTGTCATAACTTGTAATAAACCAGTTAATAAAATACATTAAATTTAAACGATTCGTGTTTTCGATAATACAACAGGAACCTCAGACATGGAAAGCTGAGAACCAAAACAAGAAGGTGTTTGCTTCAAACTTTGTTCCCTTGTGGATTGATGTGTTCAACTCAGGTTTGCAACTTTTGAATTCAAGGACTTCTATTTACCTTACAAGTTGAAACTTGAAATGCAAGAAAGCTTTAAAAAAATGCATTTTATGTGAAGATATTCATTTGGTGGAAAAGGTTACAAAAAATCTTCAAACTTCAGGCCTGCTTTGTGCTGCTGGAATTGCAACCTCTTTAACAAATTCAGGACAACAATGGTTAGTAATTCTTTTCACTCAATTCTTTTCATTCACGATAACATTATAAAAGTAAAAAAAATAAAAATAAAAATGGCAACAGGGACTTCCCAAATGGTTGGGCACCCCTTCAGCATATGATAGTTGAAGGTCTGTCAAGATCTGCATCAATAGATGCAAGAAGAGTAGCCGAAAAAATTGCTGAGAGGTGGGTGAGAACCAACTACGTTGCATACAAGAAGAAGGGAGTGATGCACGAGAAATATAATGTCGAAAAATGCGGTGATTACGGTGGTGGTGGCGAATACATATCCCAGACTGGTTTTGGTTGGTCAAATGGAGTTGTATTGGCATTCTTGGAGAAGTTCGGATGGCCTAAAAACAAAACCATCGACTGCAACTGACCTACTTAAACCTAGTGTTTCGGACGAAACGAATAAGGTTCATGGTTTCATTACTATAGAAATGCAATTCTTTTTGGCCCTTCTAATTGGGATTTACATGTTTTAACTTTTAACACAATTTCACCAGGAAAAATAAATCATGAAGATGATTTTGTATAGGTTGAATACGAGCTTACAGTGAAAGCTACATACTGATTCTACATATTGATATGCATCTACAAAAATAGAGTAAAATTTACAAATAGTTATTAAATTAGTAAAATAATCTTTTTGGTTATTTAACTTTCAAAAGCTATAAAATGAATATTGAACTTTGAATTTTGTTAAATATATATATATATATATACATCGACTCTTAACTGTCAATAAGAGATAACATGATATACTAAATTAATAAAAAAAATATTTCATTAGTTCTCCTGCTTAAAATTTTGAAAATAATTTTTTTTTAAAATTATTTTTTAATATATGAAAATTCAAAATTTAGTTTTGAAATTATAAATATATTTTTAAAATTATTAAACAAAATTTAAATAATTGAATCACATTGGTTAATAAAAAATTGATTTCATTTTTTGTTAATTGAAATTTATTGAACAATATTTGATTTTGATATAACATGATTTATCAAATAATATAATTTGTTAAAATTTACATTTTGTAATTCTAAGAAATTTTGTTATAAAGTTTTACAAATATGTTTTAAACCTAAAAAATATTTAAATTTGTCCAAAAACCTCTCCAAGTCTCAAAACCAACATGTCAGTATCGATATCTATTTTTTAGTGTGCTTTTCTGGTATCGATATCATGGTATTGGTATTGATACTGATAGGCGAGTATCGATAGTCAGTTGAACATTATTAATATCGAGCATTTCAACGGCTACAATTTTGACTGTTGGGATGCTTGGTTTCTATACCCAATACTGATATTGATACATAAGGTCAAGTGAGCAGTAAATGATCAAAAGTAATGAAACCAACGGCTCCAAACGGCTAGAAGGATGTTAGAAGACATAAAAGGGACCAATATTTAAATGTAGAGCACCAAGAAAGATTATTGCAAGATCAAACCAACAACAAAATAATTTTTGAGCCAAAATTATCATATTCTTTGTAACATACTTGTGAGCTAATTTGTTTAATTTTTTTCTCAAGTGTGATTTGGGTTAGTGCTTAATTTATGTAAACTCATTTGCCTTTTGTGAGTTTTTTTTTTGATTAATTTGTAATTCCTTTTGTGTAGAGAGCGTAAGCAAGGTTTTGGGGTATAAACCTTGTGTGTTGTTGTAAAGTTATACCTTGTCCTCTAAGGTTAGCAAATCTAGTGGATTTGAGAAATCCTTAGTGTGGATGCTAAGGTGTTGAATGTACATTTAGTTTAAAAGTTGAACCACTATAAAATCGTTGTGTAAAAGTTTTATTTTATGGTTACTTCCACCACAAATATTTAAAGGCCAATTCACCCCCTCTTAGCGTATTTCGGTTGATCGATAAAGTTAAAAATTAGTATCAGAGCGAGTCTCTATCAATGATTTAACAAACTTGAAAAGGTCATTGGAGATATCTATCAACTTATACAATCAACCGATAAAAGATGGCTCCAACTTCTGGCTCCTACAATGTTAAAGATTATCAATCCATTTCAAGACTTCTATATTTCAATGGTGCAAACTACTTCTATTTGAAGAATAATATGATTTAGTTTGTTCATGCGACCGATTATTCGGTTTGGGACGTCATCATTAATAGTTCACCTACTCCTCTAAGAAACAAGTCGGAATGGACCAATGAAGAAAGGAAGCTAACCTAGCTCAACACCAAAGCCACACACATTCTCTTTTGTGCACTTGCCCCTGACGAGTACAGTAGAGTGTCCACATGCTCTAATGCTAAAGAAATTTGGACAAGCTTGAAGTCACTAATGAATGTACAACTCAAGTGAAGAAATCAAAAATTTGCATTCTCACACTTAATAATGAGAAATTCAAAACAAAACTTGATGGAGACATCAAAGCCACATCCGACCGATTTATTGTTACCATCAATGAGCTAAAGGGTTTTGAGAAATTATACTCAAATGAGGAAATTGTTAGAAATTTTCTTAATAGTTTGTTCATGTCATGGGAATCCAAGAGGACAACTATTGAAGAAGCCAAAGATTTTGAAGTTCTTTCTCTTTATGAACTAATTGGATCCTTTCATTCTCATGAGATGAGACTTCAAAGGAAATATGAAGAAGATGGAAAAAAGAAGAAGAAGAAAAAAGTTGTTGCCATCCCTCTTAAGTTCACAAATGAAGTTAGAGAAGATTTTAGTGAAGAGGTGAATGAAGAAGATGAAGAGATGGCCTAGCACTTCAAAAGATTCAAGTGATTCATGTCATCCAAAGAAAAAGAAAGTAAACATGAAATAAAGAAGGATAATGATTCTATTATATGTTACAATTACCAAGAATTGAGACATATCAAGTATGATTGTACTTAATTGAAGAAGAAAGGACTAATCAAGCCAAATAAAAAGGCTTTTGTGGCTACATAGAGCGATGAAGACATCATTGATGATAAAGTAGTCAACCTTGGCCTCATGGTCGTCCAAAAAGATTCAAAGGTATCCTCTAACTCATCCAATTCAAATTCATACACATTTGATGAGTTGAAAGATGCCTATAATGAATTAGTGATAGAATCTGAAGTCATTATTTCAAAACACAAAAAGATTCATTCAAAATTTAAAATTGAAAATTGAAAATGACTCACTTTATAAGGCTAATAGTGAACTTGAAACAAAGTCAATGATTTTCAAGAAAAATTAAATAATTTTGAAAAAAAAAATCTAGAATTGCAAAATTTGCTTTCCAAAAGTTCATGAGGATCATCCAAAGAAAATTGATGATCTTGAGAAAGAAAGAGCTAATTTTAACAAAATTATAAGAAACAAATTTAAAAGAGGAAATTGCTCCAAATCAAATTTTGTCAAAAATTAATTTTATAATAGATATGTTTATTCCCTTAAATTTTATATAAGGAAAATGATTAAGAGCATGTGGGTCCCTAAAGGAGTCATTACTACTAAAAATAAGGATATCCTCTATCTATAGATACCTAAGGGGACTAAATTGTTTGAAACTAAAGCCAATTAAACCAAAAAAATTTGGGTACCAAAATCTGTATAATTGTCTACTGTAGGCATGTTAGAGTTATTGTGAGTAAACTCAAGCTATTTGGGAGCTCTAAAAAGCACTAATGAAAGACACCTAAAGGAAGGTAAACTTAACAAATCAACCTTATTTCAAGTTGTATAATAATTTAATTTAATGAAATTTTATGCTTCTATATGATTTTACATGTCTTTACGCTTGATTGTGTGTCCCTACCTAGTGCAATATTTCAATAAGTTAAATGGAGTTAATATTGCATGAATTGTATCTTTGTGAGCTTTTATGCTTATTTTGATTAATTTAGGCCCTAAGATGCTTCTTGTAGTATGTTTTGGACCTAGTTTGATCTAGCTAGTTATATCTTCAAAATGTCTATAATATACTCTAGTAAAGCACCTAGAAAAATACTCTAATTTAGTATCAAATCAAAAGTTTTAGTGCCTAAATAAGTTTCTAGTACAATCCATAGTCTTAAAATCATTAGGAGCTTATTTCGAAAGTTTTTTAGGCGTTAAAAATGCCAAATTTGACATTTATAGGAGTTTGGTATCGAGACTACCGTATTGGTATCGAAATTGAAATTTTAGTAGTTATTTTCAATATTGATACCAATCTGGGGAGTCTCGAGACCGCCTCTCTCAGTATTAAGATCGAGGCTCTTATACGCATTAAAAGGGCTATTTTAATCTCAAAATTTCTCATTTTATCAATTTTTATCAAATCCTAAACTGGAATTCCTCTCAATGCTCTCAACTTAAGCTCGATTTTACTCAAAATTCCACCCAAAATATTCATCCTTTCATCATCTCACGTGGATTTGCAACAAGTCTTCCTCAAAATCTTCACTCTTTCATAAAAAAATTGAGGTAATTTCAGTTGAACCCTAATTTTTTATATTTCAAAATTTATGATCCTAAATTGATTTTAATCATGCTTTTAGTTGTTTTTATTTCTATAATTGAGATACATGTCTTTAGGACAAATTCCTATTGCTTTAACAACATGTTTTGTTCAAGAAAATTTAAAAAATCTCTTATATTAGGTTCCAAAAATTTTTTCTTATGCAAAAATAAGAATATTATGTTGGAATTGGGTTGATAATTGGTTACATATATGTACGTTTTTAATGCAGGAAGTTAACCCATTGATCATTTTTCTTTAGGACCCTTGATTTTAGGTTTTCCCACCAAGTGTTTGTCAAAATTCCCAAACAAATGTTCTTTTCTCATAGCCACTATTTTGTTTTTATCAAAAATCCCTCCTAGAACGAACCTCAAGTGTCTTAGGACTAGTGGCACAACTCATCCGGGGTTAAATCTCAAGCTCCTCAAATTTTGAAAATACTTTCTTTAAGGATTCTAATGCCCTTGATCTTTATCATCGCTTTTTTTCAAAACTAAACTCCTTTGAACCGAGCAAACCATTGATCCAAATTTCCTTATGTCATGGTTTATTAATTCACTATTTTTGAAAGTTTTATTTGTTGGGGGTTGGTTGGACTTGTTTAGCATCCATCCCAAGGTGAATCCAAAACTTGTTTGTGCTTTCTTTTGCAATACTATCCTTATCCATAAAGAAAATTATGTAAACAAAATCATTCGGATTGAGTCATACCTTATGAGAAAAACCTTTACTCTTAGTCCCTCTTCCATTTCTACCTTTCTAAATATTAACGATGATGGTCCTTTCAAGGACAATCAACATGTATAAATGGATAGGTTTTCTAATGATAGCCCTACTTCCTTAGAGTTTTTTGATCGTCTCCTTTTTCTCCTCATTAATTGGTTTTTCTGTCCCTCCAATGGTAAATCTATTAATATGTGTGCTTGTGATTATTGGTGGTTTTATCATGTCAAGAACAACTTTCGTCCTAATTTTTCCATGATCATATTTTTAGAGTTTGTTGATGTTGTCACAAAATGGGTGAACTATACCAAAACTCTTCCTTATGGTTATGTTATTATTTTTATATTTAGGGATAAACTTAGAGTGTCCA